CCCACATGCGCCCGCTATGATCCAAGAGATGGACCTCTTGAACAAGGGCCTGTGTCGAGGTCCGAGAGGTTCTTGGGGTTTAGGGATTAGGGTTTAGGGTGTAGGGTTTAGGGTGTAAGGTTTGGGGTTTGGAGTTTAGGGTTTGGGGTTTAGGGTTTGGGGTTTGGGGTTTGGGGTTTGGGGTTTGGGGTTTAGGGCTTAGGGTTTGGCGTCTGGGGTTTAGGGTTTAGGGCTTAGGGTTTGGGGTCTAGGGCGTGTAGGGTTTAGGGTTCGCTTGCCAACTTGTGCTTTGTTTGAGGGCTCTGGACCATGGCATGGGGCGTGGGACTTTCTTGCTGGCTTCAGGGTTTTTTGCCTCCTACTTTAGGGTTTAGGATTTAGGGTTTAAGGTTTAGGGTTTAGGGTTTAGGGGTTTAGGGGTTTAGGGTTTAGGGTGCCTGGAAATTGCAAAATGGCTGCAAGGATTGACACTCTATGACCAACATAGGGCAAGGTACCATGGCCAGACCTCTGCGGAAAACCTGTCATCTTGGCGCAACTTTCATGTGCGAAGTGAAAGCGGCATTGACAGTTGCACCTGCTTGGGGAAGTTCCTTGAGACTGAGACAAGCGTTGTTTAGGGTCTCAGATTTTCGGCTACCCTCATATCTTGCTTTGCTGCTTTACCTCCGATCTGCAGGGACATGCATTCCGGGCCTGTAAACCCTAAACCCTCAACCCTAAACCTTAACCCCTAACCCCTAAACCCTTAACAGCGAGTAAAATCCTCTCTCGTTCGAACACTCAAGACTGCTACAGGGTTTAGGGCTTAGGGTTTAGGGTTTAAGGTTTTTGGGGTGTGTTCGACTCTGCTTAGAACAAGAAACCCCGCAACATCTTCTACCACTACTCCCTAGAATAGAATCAGAACCGAAACTTCCTAAACCCTAAACCCGTTCAAATGGGCGCCTGATCAATGGCTCGCGCTTGACCTTTGCAGCGCATGATGCCTTCAATGAACTCCTCCAAGGTGACCTGCGTTTAGGGTTTAGATTTACGATTCACGGAGGTTGCAGAACTGAGTTTGGAGATATCACAACTAGGCCCCTAGAAGTACGACAAGCACGCGCTAAGTGCAATAAGTCATGAAAGCTCGCCGTTGTTGCCTCGAATTCCGGGGCAATGTTCTCAGGGTTCAGGAGTTGCTAAACCCTCAACCCTAAACTCTGAGCTAATGGGTGTCACCACCCGCCTCGCCATCTCCGTTGTCTAACCTGGGAGGTTCTTGGAGGTGCTCGAAAATCGAGAGTTGCTGCTCTTTCTTAAGAATATCCGGTATAGGGTTTAGGGCTTATAGGGTTTATTGGGCTTTAGTGCGGTTTAGGGTTTAGGGACAAAAAAACATGAAGTACCAAGCTGGAAAGCCATTTTCAGGAACGGCCCAGAAACAGATGGAAGAGCGCCGCACTCTCATAGATATCGACATCCAGCGTTTGGAAGTAAGCCTGCAGGAATTCAGGGTTTAGGGCCAAGGGCTACCGACGGGGTTTTGGGTTCAGGGTTTAGGGTTTAGGGTTTCGGTTTCGGGTCACTATGAGTTTGAGCACCCACATGTTAGGCCACCAGGACTTGCAAACCAAAACGTGGTGGGAAATGTTTGGGAGACTGGCACTAAAGGTTCGCATCGGGTGCCCTGGGAAATACTACAGCATAGTCATCAACGGGGTTCTTGTTAAGGAATTTAATTTAAGTTACCATAATCGGGTTTATAGTAAATAATATGGTTTCCTTATTATCGTAACTTAATTTGAACCACTTAACAAGAAGCCAGTCAATTACAGCCCAAGTTCGTGGAATCTGCGGCTTTTGCACCGCCGTCAGGTTCCCAGTCCTAGAGCTTCCTGGCTTCGTATAGACGACAGTGCCACCATGCATTCAGCTGTAGTGTCTAGGGTTTAGGGTTTAGGGGTTTAGGGGTTTAGGGGTTTAGGGGTTTAGGGTTTAGGGTTTAGGGTTTAGGGTTTTAGGGGGTCAGGGGCTTTGGGGTTTAGGGTTTAGTGTGTAGGGGCAACCGACGCCGCAAAGGCTCGGATCCGGCAAGAGAAGTGCATCAATGTTCAACACCCCTCAAACACTGCACAGGTTTAGGGTTTAGGGTCCCGTGCATGCTGCCTCCCAGCGAGAACGACAAGCATCGCAAAAATCGCTAACATCGGATACCATCTCCCGGGAAAGACCATGCAAGGTGCGCACCGCACGGTCGAAAGTCATCGATCGACCGACCAAGCAATTCCGATACATGAGAACATAACAGACCCTACATTGCCCTACATCACTACATCCCATTCCTAACCAGAAAGGATTCAGCTGTTACGGAAGCAAGTGAAACGAACACTGAAGAGGTGAAAACCTAAACTATACAGCTTTCATACCAAGACTAGAAATCTCTATAGTACTCGCTCTTCAGCCTTCTGTTGAAACGCCTCAAGCCTCGAACCAACCACCTGCAGCCCGGGATCCCACTCCCCCACACAAACACTACTAGGCAATGAACTTGAAATCGTAGAGCGGGAAAGCTGCACCGAAGCCTGAATCCAGAACTCCCAAGTGCTGAAACCTGAAACTTACTAGAAGCTTCTCAACTTGAAGCTTTACATCCTGCGAACCAGCCTTGGCAACTGGGTTTGCCAAAATGTACGTCAGCCGCTCTTCGGTGATCATGCCTCGTGTGGGATGCTTCCTGTGAGGATTAAGGATTTTGGTTACGGTTTAGGATGTTTTGCCTTACGCCCGCATCACATCTTCGGCTCAGCTGAAGATCTAGCAGGATTTGGGGTAGCTAAACTGTACCATACAAGAAACATACGACTGCCCCAAGCTCTTATGCTGCCGTGCTCCTAGACTCCTATGCTCTTATACCCCTATCCTCGTATGCTCCACATGCTCCCGTACCCCTAGAATTTACAGACTCCTGTGCTCCCCACGGTCCTAGGCATACTCCTGCACTCCCGGGCTCCTATAAAGAACCGGGGTTCAGTCAAACCCTGTGGGTTTAGAACTAACGGAGTATGATCACGTTTGTGCTCTTTGTGTGCCTGTATACAGATTAATTGATAATTACTCGTGTAAGTGTTCATGTGCACGTGCATATGGGCTGCAATTGACATATGCAGGTATACACACATACAAACGCAGGAGTGTGCGTGTGGGCTAATTACTCTTCTGTCTGCTTTCATGCGTACGTGTGCCTTGCACTTGTCCGTTGGTTCAGACTGTTCATTGCGGATTCCAACAAATCCCATATGCATCGACATGTCCATGTTCCTGTGCGTCTGCAGGTCTGCACGGCAACAGGCCTGTCGAATCCTGTCGATATGCCTGCCGGCCTCCATACGGAATGAATCCCTGCCTGCCTGCAACTTAAGGTATAGGCTGTGTTCGTGCACAGATAAAGCAGGCTTGCATGCATGCAAACGTACATCATACTTAAATGTTTGCGTAAACGCAGGTGACATACTACGGTATACATTTATGGTATACGTAGATGTGTGTATGTATATATGGGTGAGAAGGTATGCATGTATGGAGGTAGATGCATCTGCGGACATAAAGGCCTGAACGGTGTCATCTCGCTAGCTCTCCAAGGTGCCATCCCCAGCGTCATCCATAGCGTGGAAAACTTGCTCTAGCTTCTCCACATACTCCGCCTGAGGCTGAAGATGTCTGTTCAGGGATATGGGCTTTCACTGTGTTCCATTGAGGCTTGCTAGAGTTTTGAGGTTTCCCTGTTCAATGCATCGCCCCTTGGAGTTTTCACTGCAGGCTAGAAGTTTCAGGTTGTTCTTCTCTTCGGGGCTTCTGCGCCGCGATAAGATGTTTCGGCGCGTGCATGTCACACAACACTGAACCGACGGCCACAGGTCTGCTTCGGATTTTGAACCAAACTATGCGTGCGAAGGGAAAGCTCCGGCACAGATGTCGCGGCATCGTCCCGAAGCACTTCACGAAAAAAAAAGCGGGATTTTACAGAGATCGAACCAAATCTTAAACTCTGAGCACTCAGTGAGCACTCTCGCGGCTCTAGCGATTTGCCCGCTTCTTGTAAGAGTGCCTTCAGCCTATACACAAAAAGGACCTGATGGAACAACAACTATACTAAAGAAGGATACCAAAATTGACCTGTCAAAACCTTGTTATCAAAGCCTGCCAGTACTCCTGCTGCTGCTGCTAATACTACTAATACTACTAATTCTACTACTAGTAAATAGTAGAAGTAACCCGTCAGGCTCCAGGCACAGCTGGGGGCCCAACCTTCTTCCGCAGCCGCTCCACGACAAGATGTTCTGCATCATTGTTGGCAGCATCTAAAGTGTCCTGCGAAGGATGGCGGCGCAAACTGGAAGTGACTTTTGCTTGCGGCCTCATCGCCAGTGGGATTGGGTCAAGGGGAGCTAGATTTCTGCACTAAAACTATGGTTGAATGATCATTAAGTTTCCGCACGTCAAGATATCGAAAGTATGGCTTGGGGTTAGCTGACCCTCGCAGTGTTCAAGCGAGTCGTGGAAGAGTCTTGTGAAGTCTCGCCGGGGTTCAGGGGGTCGCCGAAGAAGTGTGAATTTTCAGGGATGGATATCATGCAAACCTGGATGAGCATGTCCGGACTTGAACTAAAGCAAGCTAACCAGCCAAGAAAACATCGGAATGCGTTTGATACACGAAGCGTTCCGAACTTAGGAAAGGTCTGATAACGCCAAAGTCGTTGATACAACCTCCTCGGATTACCTTTGGCGTGCTTGCACATGCCCTAAACCCTAAACCCTAAACCCTAACCCTAAACGCAGTCCTTTAAGAAAATTGCAGATATCACGCGTATAACTGCGAAGACAATGATCGTGATGTACCTGCACGAACGAGCGGGGATTCCCCGGCCCTCCCGAGCTGCAGAGCTCAAGCCTACTGTAGGGTCCTCAGTTTAGGGTTTAGTCCTTAATAAGTAGCCTACTTGGAGGATCTTGGGACTTAGTAAGTAGGGTTATAAGTGCCTCAATTGGGGTTATAGGTATAGTTACCTTGTTTAGAACCTCAGTTACTAAGTCCCATGATCCTTTAAGTACTGTAGGGTCCTTTAGTCCTTAATAATTAGAATAGCGTTTTGGTGTAAACTCTACCATAAGTGCAATAAGGGACCCTCAAAGTAGTATTGGCAATTATCTAGGCCCCTACATTATACTCTGGTGAACCCTAAATTTGGTTTCGGGCTTCGGGTTCATTAAAGCACTACACCGCAATCTGCTGTGGCTGTCTGCCACGGGACCATTGACCCACACTCTCAGCTGCTCTACCCTTACCTTTGGTTAGTAGGGAATGGAAGAATGGTAGTAATAGTAGTCATAATTGTACCCCCTTCCTCCATTCCCTACTAACCAAAGGTAAGTACCCCGCTCGAGACCTCCCCAGATGCGGAAGACTAAAACAAGCCGCAGTCGTCACAATGGTAAAAGTCTCTTTCAACATCTTCGTGGCACAGGAACATTTCGCTACCTGAACAGGAATAACAATGACGAGACGGATTAGGCCGGTTGAAAGCAACAGGAAAGCGAATCAGCATTCTACAGACAAAACAGCGTGACAACGCGAACAACATCAAAGATGGCGGAGAGATGAGTCCGCTATAGTCCGTTGACGACCATCTGTTATGGTCAGAGCACGAAAACGTCTTTGCTTGCCAGCTCATTCATGGCAACAATGCACAAGACAAGTATGCTGGAACTGGCAAGAAGAGGTAAGAGGCAGCAGCCACAGCAGTGCAAGTCCGGTAGCACAACACTTATTGGATGCAACATAATCATCACCATCGCCGTCATTATTATCGACAGGAGAAAGAGCAACTACATGCTACACCAACTAGTTACACCAGAAAGAACAATCATCGCAACAACCAGCCGCAACAGCACTCAACCATTCATAATCAGGTAGCATAGGGGCAGCTATATGCGGCACAGCACCAGTAAGTACTCGTGCAATGGTCAAGCCGCGTCAAGCCATGACTGCCGTCATCACACCGCCATGCCGCCCAGGCACACGACGAAAAATATCACGAAGCCATGACCCGCACGGTCCAGCACCGGCCTTACGTTCGTAGGCCAGTTACCTGTGCAGGCCAGGCATAGAGCTCGAAGATGTTCGGGCACCGGTTTACATCTTGGAACAAGTTTCACAGCTCAGGCCACGAGAACACTAAGTCTCCTGCCGGCGAAGGTTATTTCGTACAGCGTGTACAGCGCCCGATAAGCTGTGCCATAGCGCATCCAAACCTGCAGCTTGGAGCAAGATCAAAGGGACAGGAATCTCTGCGGCTGGATGTATCATTAGAATAGGGATTGGTGGCATAAGATACCGTCACATGCGGAACTAACACTAAGTACGTCAGACTTGTGGTAAACGTGCGCCTTTGAAAGTTCTAGCTGCTTAGCTGTGCGACCAGGTCTTGCATGGTTTTGCACTTCGCTTTTGCAGGTCCACGTCATCTATCGGGCCGTTTCGAAGTGCTTCAGAAGTGCGCCGCGCTTGCTGCCAATCGTATGAGGGTCTTCCAGCCCAGTGACGGCAAGCTGAAACCCTCGTCTATGGTCTAAGGCCGGTCCGGGTGACTCAAGTAGGTCTCTAAACCCTAAACCCGAAATCCTTAACCCTTGTGTGGTTTCGGTGTTTAGGGATGGAAAATGGAAGGTGGGAATTTCTGAAACCTCCAGCAATTCTGACATAACCCCTTCATTCTCGAACCCCTATCTGTAGAAACCTTACTTGGAGGTTCATGGGTAGTTATAAGTGGGGTTATAAGTAGGGTCACTATAGTTTGAACCCATATTAGGGGACTTATAATCCCACTTATAACTACCCATGAACCTCCAAGTAGAGAATCCTCAAGGGACTTAAGACCTAAGACTGGGAAAGTTGACATCCCTAAACCGTCGCTGGCCCTTGCGCCCGGGAGCCCACTGTCTATCATCCAGGCTGTTGGTCGGGTCGAGGATAAAGTCCTGCCCAGGTCCAACGGGCTTACTGTGAGGATGTGTTTTTCGATGTCCCTTTTCCGCTCGCAGAGGTCTGGAAAGCAAATCCCGCTGGGCGTAGAGCCCACCAAATTGTTAGGCTGAAAGCCGAAAGAGGGGACCTAGCAGAACTGGCTACCTCACCAGAGATACTATAGGGGCCTTAACAATTAGAATGCGGTTTTGGAGTATATTATACTACAACTATGATAAGGAACCCCCCAAAAAAGTATTGGCCTTTATTTAGGCCCTTCTAGTATATGCCCATTGGCAACAACCACTACACTAGACCAGAGATCTATCCGACTTCCTACCTCACGAGCACACACAAGGTAGATCAAGACGATTCCCCGCATCCGAAATACATAATGTAGGGGCCAACAAATAGAATCGGGTTTTGGGCTCCTTTACAGTATTAATAGAATAAGGAACCCTAACAGTAATAATGTTTTTTAGGCTTCTATATTGCCAGACAGCCTGAAGACCGAAAAGATGAGGGTCTAGGGTTTAGGCTTTCTTTACACAATGTCGAATGAGGCTTTACGTAAGTGCAGTTGCCGCGGGGTTAGAGGCTAGGGATTCGGGCTTTCGGGTTTGCAGGGTTTAGGTTCAGGCATTCAGAGGCTTGAAAGGGTGTTTGCCTTGAGGCCGCGCCTTTTGTGCGCTGGATTTTCTTTATGCTGCCGCTTGCATAGTTTACCGTTTTGGCAGTGCCCACCCTATGCCCCTAGACAGCGTTGACAGGACTTGGCCAGGATGCTGCTCTATCCTTCGTATGCTTCGCAAGCAGTTTTTAGGCTTGACCTGAGCCACTATCCGGATAACAAAGACTTGCAGTGCTGTCGAAATTTGGTCTTTGGCTTTCGGAGCTTATCCGTTCCTTTAGGGCTTAGCACACAGGATAAGAAGAAGCCCCTTCATGTAGGAATTTCGGGCACTGAGCTCCTTGACCTGTGGGATTATATCGTACAGAGATTCTAGTGCCCGAGAACCTGAATAAAATTACATACTCTGTGCTTCTTGAGCAACGCAAGCGCCCTGAATGAGTCGAGTCTTGGGGGTATCATGGGCTGTTGTTGGTTTAAGGCCGGGCCCAGCAGGCCATCTAGCATCGACTGCAATGGTAAGCTTCGTCACAACACTCATAGCAACACCACAAACAATATCCATACAAATGCTAAGTATTCATGCTGAGGGCACTCGGGTCCCACCTCGTGGCTGAGGGTTTTTCGGTTTAGCGTTCAGCACGCATTGGGAAAGCAGAACAGGCAATAACGATGTGTTGAAATTGAAGCGGCCGGGGTGCAAATGTCCTAATGATCACCGCAGGCGAAAGAAGAGCCGCTACAACTGTCAGAAGGAGATTGAGAATTCTCGAAATCACCAGTGTCACCAACGCACCATGACAATCAGGAAACAACATACCAATCCAAAGATCAGACGTGCCAAGGCACTACTTATGGTACTCACAATAACCGCTGCGGCAGTAGCAAGCGGAGAAATATGCAACCTTGTATGACCCTTATCAAGCGCTCATAGGACTCGTATCGATCGGTTATGGGACCCAATCCCCCAACCCCTGCTTCTGAAACCTGCAGCAGCGTACCCAGCACCAGCGCGCCCATGGACATAAAGACCTGCGGGACATAGCCTCTTGAAACCTCAAACCGCTAAACTCAAAGCACCACGACCATGGACCCCAAACAAAAAACACTGTAGCATAAATGTTACAGTACAGCTGGAAAATGACTCCCGGGCCGAGCCCGATAACCGATAACATGCTAAAGCCCTGATCCCATGCCTCTCTTGACCGCAAGCATCTTGGAAACCTTTGGGGTCCTCTTGGGGGATGCCTAAACAAGCCGAAAGATCCTCCAAAACCTGACACGCTTTTGGGATCCGAAGTTTCTAAGAGCGCTGCGACTCTATTCTACAAATGGGTAGTTCTCTAAATTACGGTCTCCTTTGGGGTCCTTTCTATGAGGGTGCCGTACTATATACTATATTGGGGACCTAAACGGGACCCTAATTTTGAGAACTACCCATATTTGAGGCCTTCCTTCGGGTCCAGGGTTTAGGCTTTCAGCACTCACAACTGAGACAAGCCTTCAAACCCTAACGGCTACTAGGGCTCAGGGTTAAGGGTTTTTTGGGTTTAGTGTTCAGCGTTAGGGTTTAGGGTTCAGGGTTTAGGGTTCAGGGTTCAAAGTTTAGGGTTTATGGTCCAGGGTTTAAGGTTTAGGGTTCAGGGTTTAAGGTTCAGGGTTTAGGGTTTCGACTCGAGTCCTGCCTTACCCATAGATAGGGAATATACCATATGGGAGTTTCCGAAAATAAGGAGTACCTTATTCTGGGGTCCTTATAATAAGGATCCTACTATTTGGGGTACTATATTAGAGCCCCCAATTTTCGGAAACCCCTATATCATTCCCAGGCCCTGAAGGTGATTCAGGATTTCTATCATCAACAGTAGGTCTCAGGCGTGAGGCTTTGTGTTCAACTCCTCATCCGTCTGAACCCCACAACACTTCTGGGTTTCCAGAAACGGTTTAGGGTTTAGGGTTTAGGATTTAGGGTTACCGGGTTTGAAGAAAAAACAAGCAACCACACAACGCCCGGAAAGTGCAAACTTGGCACTCTACGCACTTCAACCCCGACAGCGATCATATCCACCTAGGAACCTGATCACAAAACCCACAAACCCCAACTCCCCGCACCTCCAAACCCCAACCCAACACACCGTGAATCACTGACCTCCAACCTACAAGCCTAAACCGCCCTAGACCTGAGGGCCCGATGCTGCCTTCTTGAGGCAACATACCTTCAATCGCGTGATATCTTGGTGATCACTCTACGAAACCCTATAACTCCTTCTCGAAGCGATACCCAGATCGTAAACGATCCCAAACCCCAAAGACCCGTTAAGTTCGGAGCCCCCAAACCCCTCAACCCCCCAAAACCCTATCAACCCCCTTAAAAAAAAAAAAACTTCAAAGGAACCCTTCAAAGTAACCGAAACAGCCGCAGTCAGAGGCACTCCAAGAAGCACCATGGACCAGCCGAGGGAAGGGAGGAAGCATTGGCAGGCCTTCCTGGGCTTTGTCAGACATGTTTTTCGGGGTTTGGGGGTTTAGGCTTAGGGTTTAGGGTTTAGGGTTCTCTCTGTCTGGTGCTAAGTAGGGAATGGGGGGAATGGATCCCTATGATAGTCCCTTAAGGTCCCTTATAGTAGTCCCTATAACCCATTCCCCCATTCCCTACTAAGCGGCCGTCAACGAGGAAGGGAATGGGGTTTGGGGTGTAGGGTTTTGGGGTTCTAGGGTTTGGGGTTTGGGGTTTTGGGGCTTTGTGGTTTAGGTTTTCGGGCTCGAGGTTTGGGAGTAGGGGAGGCTCGGCTTGGGATTTAGGGGCCCAGAAGGGGCTTTTGACCTTGGTTCCTTCACTTGTCTGGGAGGTTACCCAGTGTGGTGGAAAACTGCTTCGAGCTGTTCGTTGAAGACTCTCAGGTGGGCTTCCTGGGTCCGCTGCTGGTCGGGGGAGGGGGGGGAGGGTGGGAAGGGAGGGTCTCTTGGGCTTTTAGGGAGTCCCCCCGTGCATTTTACTCTTCAACGCCTCTAAACCTCTGAGCCTCAATTCCAGAAACAAGGTTAGCCACCGAAAGAACCAAAAGACGCAACAAGGAAGGGCAACCCTAAACTCTAAACTGTCTTACATCCGCATCAGGCCCAAGATAGCCCCAGTCGTGCGAACAGAAACGCGTCGGCCTCGAACTACACGGAGGCTGGTCAGTCTTCAGCAACAACCCCTCGACCTCAAACTCAGATTTGGGGTTAAGGTTTAGGGTTTAGGGCGAGCCCCACCTGCAAGTCATATGCAAGCCCTGAGAGAACCAAACCCTTACGACACCCTCGAAACACCCTACGAAATCACCAAAACCCGGATGTGAGCTGTTCCTGAACCCGGAGCGCGAAAGTTTTCGGCATTCTGGGCCCGTTTACATTATTGCTGCTCGGAATCCTACAGGTATGCAGGGCACCCAGCTCTGAAAGCCCTGACATTTCAAGATCCTAGGCCTGGATAACCAGTCATAAACCTACCTGAAAAACCTCATCCGGAAGAACTTTATGTTAAATGCTCCCGAAATAAGCAACCAACCCCTCTGAGAACTTCTTCTTCCGCCCAGCTTCACAAGGAGCCGAAGCCCTGTAAAGAGTCGCAAAGTGCGCACCATACGGATTGCGCGGAGCGCCTGCGGCAAGGCAGGACAAGCTGTCGGCACTGACAGAACTTCAGGAGCTTAAGGTGATTCGGGGGCTTGTAGGGCTTTTTTTTTAAGTGCAATGGCCCCTTTCTCCCGCACCAGTTAGGAGCCTGCCTTGTGCAGGCTTATAGGGTTTAGGGTTTAGGGTTTTGGATCTCGGGATGTGAATTGTTTCGGGGTTCTGCCGCGAAGCATGTGGTCGGCAGACTTCACGGAGGATGGGCCCGCCTTCAGCGCCCGCACGAGCCGCAGCAAGACAATGTTCTTGTGCTCTCCTGGTGGCTGGGATCTGGGCCCTGAAGCCTTAAGAAGGCTAGGGGGCTCTGGCCCAGGAGCAGAGCTTAGTTGCCAAGAATCATGCCACCCTCCAGGCCAATAGACAGATCGTAACCCGCACTGAAGCAGATCAATGTCTTGCGGAATCAGAAGGGAAAGGCACAGCCGACGACGAAAGGCGAACCTAGCCACGACGACGATCGGGAAGAGCACGGTCCGGTCACTGCAACAAGACGACGACGACGACGACGCCGACCACATAACAGCAGCAGCATCGGCAACGGCAACGGCAACAGCAGCGGCAACACCAAAAGCAAAGCTGACGGCAGCAGCAACGAAAACAGAGCGCCCACAAACACAGCAACAGCAACATCAAGTTCGGAAAGCAGCACCCAGAAATAGTAGGGTAGTCCTATGGTCTTGATATTCGCCGAAATCACAGATGATGACGAAGGGCAACGAGGCTACCATCAAGCGGTCACCCGGAGACACCGGGACACGGCCCCACGGAGTCCCCTGCTACTGCTACGGCTCCACATGGGTAGTTCTCTAAATTAGGGTCCCTTTTAAGGGTCCCTTTTTTAGTAAGGGTTTAGGGTTTAGGGTTTAGGGTGCCCTACTATAGTGGATCTACAGAGGGACCCTAATTTAGAGAACTACCCACATGCTTCACATGACGTAGGGCACCCAGTTTTTTGGCACTGAAGGCTACACTGAAGGCTACAAGACCAGGGATTTGGGTTCTGATTGTGCAGCCCACACCATACCAGACTAGGCCGCGACACCGAACGAAATTTCGCGCATAGATTAGATGGTAACTCATGCTCATCTTCGCCCGATATTGCGGCCTCCCAGCCCCCCGGCAGAAGCCAAGGGCATGATGATATACCTCAGCCGATGCGCTGCTCAGAAACCCAGGCTGAGCAGATGCCCTCGCACCCGAAACCCCAAGCCAAGATTCCCGAAAACCCTAAACCTTAAACCCCAAACCCTAAACCCCTAAACCCTAAACCCCTAAACCCTAAACCCTAAACCCCTAAACCCTAAACCCCCAAACCCTAAACCGCAGGTTTGCTGCTTGCCTCGAATGTGGAGTTCTACCGGGGCTCAGCGCTCCTTCTGCGTAACAATCGGTGCATGCCTTCTTCCGCTTCTACGGACCTGACATCAAAGCCTAAACACAACAGAAAGCTTTCGAAAAGAAACGAGCCCCAGCTATCCATGCATTCACCTATCTATCTATCTATCTATCTATCTATCTATCTATCTATCTAGCTATCTATACATACATACATACATACATACATACATACATACATACAGACGGACAGACATTAAAACAACAAAAATCACGAAATGAACATGAATAAATTCTACATAATATTTATATATATATATATACCAACCATATCTGACCTGGCTCTGTGAGGCCGCCTTCGCTTGGATGCAAGTGACGCCGGGCTGTCGGGTCTGAAGGGCTGAATGTCAGGGTGTTGGGTTTAGGGTTTAGGGTTTAGGTGTAGGGTTTAGGTGTTAGGTTTTAAAAATTCAGCACTCACTCTCGGACTTGCCTAGGCGAGGTTCCTGGTTTTGAAAATTAGAACCGGGGGAACACTAAGGAAGACTACCGGCAATTACTCAGACCCCCTGTAGTAGGTTTTACAGGGTTTAGGGTTCAAGGCTCGGGGCATTTACTGCCTGCACCCGTCCTGCGCTGATGAAGGGCACCGGCCGTCAAAGTGCCCCTTTTTTTTCGGGTCTGACACCCCGAGCCCCAAACCCCGACAAAAGGCGCCTCCGCAACTTGCAGAGTGCCTCCTGTATCCCTGCAGAGAGAGGGAGAGAGAGCGAGAGGGAGAGAGGAGCACCAACAGAATGCTCCACAAAATCCAGCTGCATTTTGTCCTTGAAGCCACTGTCAGACAGGATGCATGTCAACAAAACCTGCAGCGACCAGGAAGAAGTCGAACCAGAACCTGTGGCAAGAGAACCAGGCATCCCCACACTGAATCTTTCAAAGTCTCATTGCTATGATGTTTGCAGCTTCAGTGGCCACTCTCACTCTTGTCCCTACAGCTGCATGGTCGTGGCTTTTGCAGCAAGTAGTTTGGCTACCATTGAATGCGGTTGGCACGTGTGGGCACCATTACTGCTGCTTCTGTTGCTGCTGCAATAATGGTTCTGCGATACTCCCTACTCCTACTGCTCCTACTATGCCTACTACTCCGACTATCGCCACCACACCACTGCAACTCCGAACACCTACTTGTGCAAGCCTCAACCCAAAACTAGCCAAGCAGCGCGATCTCCTTCATGAACGTTGCCCACTCAACAAAGGCTCGGAAGATCAGCCTCATACTCATCAGGTGATATCACATACTGTCAGCAGGGTTCGTTCGGAATAGTAGTAGTAGTAGTAGTAGTAGTAGTAGTAGTAGGTGGTAGTAGCAGTAGCAGTAGTAGTAGTTGTTGTTGTTGTTGCTGTTGTTGTTGCTGTTGTTATTGTAGCACCAACACCAGCAGCAGCAGCAGGAGTAGCAGCAGCAGCAACAGGAACCGGTAGTAAGTAGTAAGTAGAAAGTAAGTAGTAAGTAGTATTAGTAGTATTAGTGGTATTAGTAGTTAGTAGGTAGTAGGTAGTCGGTAGTCGGTAGTCGGTAGTCGGTAGTCGGTAGTCGGTAGTAGGTAGTAGGTAGTAGGTAGTAGTGGTAGTAGTAGTAGTTGTTGTTGTTGTTGTAGTAATAGTAGTAGCAGCAGCGGTAGCAGTAGCAGCAGTGGCAGTAGCAGGAGCAGGAGCAGTTGCAGTAGCAGGAGCAGTAGCAGGAGCAGGGGCGGTCGCAGTGGCAGGAGCAGTAGCAGTAGCAGCAGCAGTAACTCCAAAGCCATGTGACTCGGCCAGAAAGATAAACACGAAGGCACTGTCGAGCGTCTCGAAGATTGGGCTGACCTTTTCTGGGCTTACGCTCAACGGTTATTTGTCTGCCTTATGCTTGACAGAAAGCGCGCACACACACACACACGCGCGCGCACACTCACGCACACACACACACACACCCAACCACATACACACCTAACCACATCGTCAGCAAGCTGGGTCTGGAGGGCACGAGGTCGAGAAACTAAAGCCACGGGAGGTGGCTGCGTCCGCAAAGAGCGCTCTTCTTACTATACCGTTTCGACCGGCCTCGACCGATTCTTGCAGTCAGCCGTGAAGCCTCAAAATCTGCACCTTCACGCCTCCAGCCACTTCATGCCGGATCCTCAACCCCCAAGCCTACGGCTCAATTCCTGTTCGCTCTCTGCAGTTGCCTCAGCCAGAAACAACTTTGATGACGGCGATAGTAATGGCAGGGCTGCTCGTTGTCGCGAAGGTAGCCGTGAGCATTCTCTTGATTTGATTGTTGCTTATCACAGCATACTGCCACTCCTCTTCCGACTACTACTAGACTACTACGACCACACACCACTATCCTGCTACTACATCTTCTGATACTGCTGTTACTAGTACTAGTACTAGTACTAGTACTACTACTACTACTACTACTACTACTACTACTGCCACCACTACTACTACTACTACTACTACTACTACTACTACCACCACTGCCATACCACGAACGCGACTGCGACAACACACTCCTTCTGTCTACTCCTACGGCTACTGCATTTCTGCTCCTCCTCCTCCTCCCCATTCGCCTCCAACCTGCTCTTGCACATGGTCTTAGCAAGCCCTCTTCTTCCTGCGATGGCCATTTACCCTTGTCATGGCTCCTCTTATTGTTCTATCTATGACTAATGTGACTTTCGCAAAGCAATGCCTAACACTACTGGCGCAAGCATCGCTTTTCTCAGCAACTCCAAGCGTGTTGCCCCATACATCGACCCGGCCTTTTCATACGGCATTGCCTCATCAACCAGCCCGATCCTCAGAGGGCAGTGACAGGAGCACCGAGCTTGGGAAACGGGAGTCGGAAGCTCGACCAGTGTTAGTGCGCTAGTACAAACATGTAAGAGTAACCCCTGGGAGGTTGACTTGCCGTATAGTGAGTCAGCATCATCGCAGGCAGAGGCGGATCCAAACTCCACCAACACCTTAAAGCAGCAGTAGCACCTCTACGGCAGCGTATACCACTGATGAATCCATTCCCTTCCTTTGCGCTCTCGCAACTCGGACATGCCAGGCCTCGAATATGAGGGTTAGGACCCCTATAAGAATGCCTTTCAATTTAAGGGCGGTGCAAGAAATCAGGGGTCTACATTACTCCAGGAAGTCCCAGGCAAAACTTCGCCGAGCTGAAGAAAGAGACGGTCAAAAGGCCGATTGCTCTTGGCGTACTTCTGAACCCCTCCTAAAAGTCAAACTTTTAGCCCAGATATTATAGTTCATATAAAAACCCAAAAAGTTAAAGTCTAAAGAGCCAACCAGAAGAACGCTAAGTGCTATAGCCCCAAAACTTCGATCCGCAGCTCTCGAACACGATTCACTAACCAACAGAGAAAGCACAAACCCTGAACCCCAAAATCTCTGACTCCCGGCGCTAAAGCAAGCGAGTCACCGTGTCCCAATGGCATTGCCCTCCAACTCCAACCTGATTGTCTCCAGTTTAGGGTTTAACGGTTTAGGGTTTAGGGTTTAGGGTTTAAGTTTAGGGTCTAGGATTTTGAGGGCTTGGGAGGACGACAGTAGTGCAGGGGCCTTAATAGGTAGAATAGGGTTTTGGGGGGGTCTCCTGATTACAAGTATAGTACACTATACGCCCGAACCCTAGTCTAATTCTTAAGGCCCCTACAGCAAGCTGTCGATTGCTGCAGCCCGTGCAGACAAGGAGGGCACTCATTAGCTTGCTGGGGATGATCCGACGGCTGGCATGATGGATTTCTCATGACATGCTCTTCTTGTGCCTCCTGTCCACTCCGGAAACCTTCAATGCTTTCTCGGCTTCGCTTCGTTTGTGTTCTGCTTATCGCCTTCCGAAGTGATCTGGATCATGATGCTGTCGTTCATCTTCGCACTTGTTGCCTACAAAAGTCAGCCCAGTTGCTCCACCATCATGACCAAGGAGTTCAGCACTACAAGTGTGGCAGCCAGGACGTTGATCCAGCCTCGGGACAGGACGACACTTCGGCCCTCTCTCACTGCATGTGCGTGATGGACAGACAGCCTTTCAATGGAAGTACGAAGCTTGTCGCTCTCTCTCCCTCGCTCTCTCTCTCTCTCTCTCTCTCCCTCTCAAATAATGGCAGTCGTCATCGCGATGCTAGCAGTAGCTGTTTTTATTACTAGCAGCAACACAGCTGCAGCAGTGGACGCGGTGGAGGAGTAGGTGTGCTTGTATCAACCGCGGCAGTAGAACAGTCACCATCAACCAATGACGATGACGATGATTTGGGCAACTGCTGCCGTGACGGTGATGCTATTCCATCATGTCGTTTCTTACCCATACGTAGCACGATGGTGGGAGTGATGGCAGCGGTCGTGGTCATGCGAAGAGTACGAGATGGAGCCGCATGATGACACCCAGCACCTTGCCACCCCCAAAGGCCGAACCCACAAACCCTTCCCTTACCTCGGCACGCTAAGCTTGAACCCCAACATCCGGCAGAACAACGTCGTACCCAAGCGGAATCCCAGTCAGTCGTCTAAAGACCGGGTTACTCTAAAAGGGCTCTAACAAGACAGTAACCTACTAGGCATGCACCTTGGATTCTAGAGAAAACTCAGCTATGGCTCGTTTCAGCTTGTCCATCACCTTCTCCTCCTTCTCCTCTTTGTTTCCTGCGGGGCTGTAGGGTCTGGAGCGTAGCATGTGCAGGATTTCAGGGTTTGGGGCTGAGCCAGTGGCAACACAGCTTAGGAGTTCGGGTCCAAGGGATGGAGGTTCTTGTACGGTTCCTTTGGGGGGGGGGGGGTGTATATAAGGGTTTAGGGTTTTCTGTGTGTATACTCTAAACCCTAAACTCTTGTATAAACCCCCTGCAACAAAAAACATATGGTCTAAGGCTGAAGTCTTTGAAATATTCTGCGCTTCAGGTTTAAGGCTGTCTGGGTAGCAGGTCGGGGTCTGGAGAAGCAGCCGGAGGACTCCAAAGCCGATTCCAAACTCGATTCCTACGATCCCGAACATCACTCAGGGTTTAGGGTTTCAGCACTCACAACTGGGACAAGCCTCTCAGGGTTTAGGGTACAGGGTTTAGGGTTTAGCCAAAGAGCTTAAACCCCCAAACCCTGTTGCAACAGGCCTTTTTTTACACCTGGACTATGCATATGCCAGGAACCGGGGCGCCGACTGTGCTGCGGACTCGTTGCAACAAGCCCTAAACCCTAAACCCTTTTTGCAGCAGGCTTCTCTCGCCCGGAACTGCCGTCGCCGTGAAGCAGTGCAGCACTCATGACTGCACAACCCCGCACAACATGTACTCATGACAAGCTAAACCCTAAACCCTCTAAACCCTAAACCCTAAACCCCTAAACCCTAAACCCTAAACCCTAAACCCCTAAACCCTCAACCCTAAACCCAAAAACCCAAAACCCCCCTTTTCTGAAGCAGAGGCCTGAGCCGAGACTCCATCATCTTTAACCCCCCAGCCCGGAATCCAACCCCAAACCCAAAAACCCCTAAACTTGAAAAAACCCGAAACCCAAAAAACCCTAAACCCAAAAAAAAACTAAACCCCTAAACCCTAAACCCTAGAACCTAAACCCTAAACCCTAGACCCTAAACCCCTAAACCCCTAAACCCCTAAACCCAAAACCGTCCTTGAGAGAAGCCCAGGGACTTGACCTCAAGAGGCGGCTGCGGGCTCAAGCGGCCCCAAAAAAGCGCGTCAGTGTTTAGGGTTTAGGGTTTAGGGTTTTTGGGAGACCGAAGAGGTTCACCTGAAGTCTGGGGTTTAGGGGTTTAGGGATTTAGGGTTTTAGGGTTTCGGGGTTTCGGGTTTGGGGGTGTAGGGGTGTAGGGTATAGGGTTTAGGGTTTGGGGGTTTAGGGTTTAGGGGTTTAGGGTTTAGGGGTTGAGGGTTTAGGGTTTAAAGAGGTTGATGGCCTTGAGTCCGAATCCTGACGGAACCCGGGCTGAGGAGTTGCACTGCTCAGTTTGCTCTCTTGCTGTTTGGCATTGCTGCCGTCGTCGTCCTCGCTGTTGTTGCTGCTGTTGTTGGCGGTGGTAGTGGAAGTATTCGGGTCGCCGGTACTATAACCGTGACTTCGAGTGTTCCCGTTCCTGCTGCTGGTCGTTCTTTTTGCTCCTGTTCTTCTTATTACTGTTGTTCTTCTTGCTGTGGCTGCTGTATTCAGCTGTGGGAGCTACATGAAGGCACTCATGCTTTTGATGACTATTGTTCCCTGTTGAAGATAGGGCCGGCCAGCTCTGGGCGGCGAGCAGGAGTTGCTGCCATTGACGGCGAATGCAGGAGCTCGCCTGTGACAGTTTGTGTTCGGGTGTACTTAGGGTTTTGGGGCTCTGGGGGTTACCCTAAACCCTATGCTCTCTGAACCCTAAGCCCTTAAGGCCTAGTGTTTCAGGCTTGAGGGTTTGAGGTTCGTTGTCATTGTCTCGACTGCAATTGCAGATGTGGGTGCAGGCTGATGCCATCGAGGCTTGGTTCCGGAAGGGGTTCGGGAAAGAGCGGTGCCGGGTAGGCGACACTGACTGGTCTTCTTGTCCGAAAAACTACTGCTTCCCTGCTTATGCAATCCTGAGTGCATGTCCCGACGCCGTCCACTCCCTGAAAATGTGCGGAAATTTCCTGCTTGTCAACAAGAAGTGGTTTCCGGTCAGGTGTCTAAGACATCCTGCATGCCGGATGAATCGGTGTAACGGAGCGTGGCTGCAAAGGCCAAGCCGTCTCGAATGGCAGTATGGATTAGACCTCAAATTTCAGGGCACTACCGTCCGTTGCCAGCAGTGCGCGTCAGTATGCATATTCACGGTCTTCGAGAATGGGGGCTTAACCTTCAAGACTGTCCTCAAACATCTGTACTGACAACACTCCCCTTCATCCCAGCAGATAGTTGCTTTGCTACTGTCGCGAGGGTTTCAGACAAGTAGGATCCTTGTTGTAACCGCCCCTACAGCAAGGCACCCGCAAGTGCAGGAAACCTCAGATCGTCGTGAAGAACATACCATAAATCCTAAACGGTTAAGACGACTTCGGCCATGGCACTTTCTCCCAACAAAATCTCCCTAAAGCTCATTGGCTCATGTGCATCGCTCTCGTTCACTCTATCTCTCCTTCTTTCTTCTCTCCATATATGTAGACATACAACAAAAACGAGCGAGAGAAATAAAGAGCGCGAGAGAGAGAGAGAGAGCGAGCTCCCTAGCTGCTATGTCTCTCTCGTTCTTGCACCCTTCTCTTCTCTGCTGGACGAAGGAATTGGAGATGCAAGCTCCGAGTGTGCCTTTTTTTGACTTCTTTTTGCTTTGCAAACACCGTTCCCACCATCTAAACTCTGCGAATTCTTCCGTCTAGGCCTGCTGGCCCCGGAAGGACTGTCGCTACCGCATCATTGCCCACGATGCTGGCGACGGCTCTACGACAAACTTCAAGCCAGTTTAGATAAAACCCTAAAAACTACAGTACACCCTACACCTTACACCCTAAGCCCTAAGCCCTAAGCGGGAAATGCCACATTCAGAAACCCGAATCCAAACGCCAACCTGCGTGACTTCGAGGCCCGAGAACCCCCACTCGACAAAAACCCTTCCAAAAAGTCCGACTAGAACCCCAGAAGAAAAAAAAACACAGAGCCTATTAAATCCTAAAAAACCCCTTAAAACAAAAAAAAAAAAAAAACGCCCTCCAGCCGCGGCCTTTCAGCGAAGGACTGCTCGGGCCCAGATTCATGACATCATGGTAGATATCCACGACGGGCGCTGAGTTCACCTCGAGTTGGGTAGCTCTCTAAAAGTAGGGTTTAGGGTTAAGGTTTTAGGGCTAAGGGTTTATGGTTAAGCTTTTAGGGTTTAGGGTTTAGGGTTAAGGTTTTAGGGTTTAGGGTTTATGGTTAAGTTTTTAGGGTTTAGGGTGTAGGCTTAAGGTTTTAGGGTTTAGGATTTAGGATAGTTCTCTAAAGTAGGGTCCCTTTTAGGGTCCTTCATTCGAAGGTGCCGGACTCTACAGGGGACCGACAAAGGGATGGACCCTGATTTAGAGAACCACCCTTATAGTACCTACAGTACCCTTATAGAAACCCTATAGAAGCCCTGATAGATCCCTTTGAAGGAATCGTACAGGCACCCCGAAAATTAATAAGAGAACTACCCATTCGCACTCCCAGGGTCTGCACTCTCACAACTCGGGCTAGCCAGGTGAGGTCTGTGGGGCACCAGTCGGGCTGCCAAACCCGTGAGGCTTCCCATTGCCAGGGTTTAGGGTTTAGGGT